TTTGCTAAGGCACCCCTGAAGAAACCTCAAGGCACCGCAGGGTGCCTGGGCACCTGGTTGAGAAAGGCTGCACTAGAAAATACCAATAAAAATTTGATTTCCTGTCATACTAAAGGAAGTCTTTGGTCACAGCATACACTTTTTATAACGTCAGTATTGTAATAACAATACAAACAATAGTTATCTTTGACAATCCAATGTAAGCCTGCTAGAAAAATGTCCTTCATGTTGCGAGTGCTGCCTGTCTGCTGGTCATTTCTTTCCACAATTTCCTGGGTTCTCTGCATGCATTATAGCTGTTCCTCTGCTATTTCTAAGGACTTCTGTAAGGTAAACCGTATATGCAGGATCAGAAAACCAATGCAGACTTATGCTCGTGCTCATGCGCATTACACATTTGCTCGTATTTCTATGCAAAAAGGCAATATCAGATGTAACGTGCCGGTCCACCATATGTGCATGTAGCAATTAGCGTGCACACTTGGCACCCAGTGGCCTATTTAAACTGATCTGTCACTGAGAGAAGTTGCTGAATGGTCTTCAGCTTGTTGCGTTCCTGAGACCTGATCCACTATATTTGCCTACCTGTTTATGACCCCCAGCTTCTCTCTGGACTTTGCCTCTGCCTGCTGTCTCAAAACCTGCTCATCTGGTTCCCCTTGACCCTGACCTGATTACTGGACTCTCCTATGCCTACGGATTCTGTACTTCTATGCCCTGCTGTTACCGACCTTGACTCGCTTCCTGGACTTACTCTGCCTGCTTAGTCGATCCCTCGTTGCACATTTGTTGCAGACTGCTGCCTGCTTCCCGCCTTCCACTACCACCTTCTGCTCTGGCACCAAGTTTGTAGGCAGGTGCAGTCCCAGTTCTCCAATGTAGGTTACACTTTGCCAGAGCGATATTACAGCTGGAGAGGAAGTCAAAAGAAGCTTTCTTTATGGTTTTCTTGGTCTCCTAAGGTAGCGTTCTGGTTGACTACGCTGCTTACAGGGGACCCTGGCAGATCTTGGGTCAGCAGAGCCTTTTTAAGTGCCTTCTTCTAGGATTTGGCCCATATGTGGATGTGGATAGCATAGGTACAGTGCACCCATCTGTCAGGGAGAGGGAACAGTGGTAGGGAAAGTTTCTGGCCAAGGAAGGACAGGCTAGTGACATGCCATCTTTCTTCGGAATCCTCCCCTTTGGGCTCAGACTGGCCAAGTCAGAATCCATCCACAGATACTGTTGGTGCCTCAGAACAATCTACAAGTTTGCACAGAACTGTGACTGTCCTCAACTGGGCACTCTCCCAATGGGCTGTTTATATCTTTGGGCTGTTCCTTCAATACAATTTTGTTCATTGCCACTACACCACGCTGCACCCCCTCACAAGCTGCTTCTGAATCCTGTCCCAAGGACTGAGACTTCCAGCTCTACCCACCTAAAGAGCAGACAACAGCAACCAGCTACTCCGGCACTCATGCCACTCCCTGCCCTCAGACTCTCTGTCTACATCTTCAGGAGTGCTGGGCAGGAGGTACAAAAGATGTTCAGACTAATAAGAGTAGGCTAGAAATAATTGAAATAAAATGTAGAAATGGATGTAAGATTTTACATTTTGACCATGGATATTCTTTTAAAAATATACTTATGCCTTAATATAGCCTGGAGATGATTTGATTGGGGATGTTTTAGATAAAAAAAAAAAGTACAGGCTAAAAGACAAGTAGGAAACCACAGAACAGGAAAACAAATCACAATACATATGTCTGGTTTAGGCCGGGACATTTGATCAGCAGCAGTGTTACAATAGTTGAATAAAAGATGATTGCAGTAGATAATAATTATTTATGCAGACACCTTTTCTTATCTGTTCAGATAAACCCAGAATAGCAAGTTACAGAGGACTTTCAGTCCTTTTATTTTTTTTTAATTTTATTTGATTATTATACAAATAAATATTAATACACAAAAACATTAAATATACAAATATTTCATACATGATCAATTAACCCCTATCTCTCCCCCCCCCCCACCTCCCCTTATCCCTTAACCCTCCCTCCCCCCATCCCCTCCATTCACAATCTAATATTTCTATCATGTCTAGCTATATCCAAGTCATCTCTTTCTCGTATGTGCTATTGTGGCTATTTTTTAGTTTTTAAACTTCCCCTTTGCTCTAATCAATTCTGTGTATATTTCCGTTTTTTAAAATTTCATCCAGCTACACCATGTTTTCCTAACTTTTTCCATCTTATCCTCTTCCATATGACACAGTTCCTCCATTTTAATGATACTCTCCACTTTATCTATCCAGTCTCCAATCCTTGGTGCCTCGATCTCCTGCCAAAACGTAGGGATTAAACCCTTTGCCTCACTAATCAACCCCTTCACGCCGATGCCTCCTGGCCCTTTAAGAGTTTCAGAAGCTGGGAGGCGGGGCGGGGTTTAGAGACATGTGACCGCCGTGACGCGCCGTCACGGCGGTCACATGATCGGGAAAGGTCCCGATCGAAAGAGGAGATCGGGACCTTTCCGTGAGTACCGAACATGTGTGCTGGGAGCGTGCAGGGCGCACGCTCTTGGCACATATGTCCTTTTTTAATAGAACGCAAATGTGCAGCCCACTCGGCGTCTAGGCCCAGATGCCGGGAGGTCGCACATTTGCGTTCAGCCGGCATGAAGAGGTTAAATGATACACTTCCCTATTTTTATGTGAATCCAATGCAGGCTCAAAATAATAAAATAAACACTTCCACGGATCTCTCTGAAAATGTATCTCATATATTTTCTGAATAAGTTGGATTATTTCCCTCCAATAATTCTGTATTTTCGGGCTAGGACCAGGGGCGGACTGACAACTCATGGGGCCCCCGGGCAATATGGGATCATGGGGCCTCTGTGTCCTTGCCCAAACTCAAAAAAGCTTATGAAAAAGGTACCAGGGGCATCTCAAGGGGCCCCCTACTGACCCAGGGCCCTCAGGCAGTGCCTGAGTTTCCAAATGGTCAGTCCGCCCCTGGCTAGGACTTTCAGTCTTTAACGTTCTGTAAATATACACATGAAAAATTTAAATGTAGAAAACCTTATCAATGCATTCTAACCTTTTAAAAGTTTTGTTGATGTGCATAGCTTGTAATTGGATATGAACACAGGAGCAGCCATAAGGCTCCATTCACGCTTTGTGGTTTTGAATCATGGGCAGAATCGCCGCAACTCCAAAACATGTGGCAATCATGGCACAATGCGCGGCACGCACTTGGGTGGCGTTTTCCAATGATGGCACGCCAAATGCAATGGCAAACCGTACCTTAAAAAATCATGTAAAGCTTGCTGCCTGAAAAGAGCTTGAGATTTTTTTGTTCGACAAACGCGCATAGGGCAGCCATTTAAATGAATGGGCTGTCCTACGTGCAGCCCACAAAAAAAGTGCAAATCGCTCAACCAAGATTGCGAGATGGAATGCGAATGTGTGAATGCAGCCCAATAGTTGTAACTTGCTGGTACTTTTATCTCAATGCAAATCTCCCACACAGTGACTGTGAGAAAACTAGCACTATTTAGTCTTTAACGGCATAAACACCCATAATGCTCCTGGTAGCCAGAGACCATGTGATCTTAGTAAAACATGTATCAAAACACAAAACTAAAAAAATTTATTTATTGCAACTTACCATTCTTAGATGTGGTGGCTACATTATTTTCTTTCTTCAGTTTTTCAGGTTTTTTTCATTTATTTTCAGTGATCCTGCCAGTAACACACTTCTTGTCCTAGGGTGACAATGGCAACTCACTGTACAAAGAGTTTCCAGATATTTAATGGACACTTGTCATGCATGAGCCCAATGTTCTGAAGAAGCTGTGTTAACCACAAAACGTGTCAACGACAACTTTAACTGATACTATGTTTTTGGTTTTGAGATCAATATCTATATTATATATACAGTGGGGCAAAAAAGTATTTAGTCAGACACCAATTGTACAAGTTCTCCCACTTAAAAAGATGAGAGAGTCCTGTAATTTGCATCATAGGTAGACCTCAACTATGAGAGACAAAATGAGAAAAAAAATCCAGACAATCACATTGGCTGATTTGGAAAGAATTTATTTGCAAATTATGGTGGAAAATAAGTATTTGGTCACCTACAAACAAGCAAGATTTCTGGCTCTCACAGACCTGTACCTTCTTCTTTAAGAGGCTTCTCTGTCCACTGCACTGTATCAACGGCACCTGTTTGAACTTGTTATATAAAAGACACCTGTCCACAACCCCAAACAGTCACACTCCAAACTCCACTATGGTGAAGACCAAAGAGCTGTCGTAGGACACCAGAAACAAAATTGTAGACCTGCACCAGGCTGGGAAGACTGAATCTGCAATAGGCAAGCAGCTTGGTGTGAACAAATCAACTGTGGGAGCAATAATTAGAAAATGGAAGACATACAAGACCGCTGATAATCTCCCACGATCTGGGGCTCCACGCAAGATCTCACCCCGTGGGGTCAAAATGATCACAAGAACGGTGAGCAAATATCCCAGGACCACACGGGGGGGACCTAGTGAATGACCTGCAGAGAGCTGGGACCAATGTAACAAAGGCTACCATCAGTAACACACTACGCCACCAGGGACTCAGATCCTGCAGTGCCAGATGTGTCCCCCTGCTTAAGCCAGTACATGTCTGCGCCCGTCTGAAGTTTGCTAGAGAGCATTTGGATGATCCAGAAGAGGACTGGGAGAATGTCATATGGTCAGATGAAACCAAAAATAGAACTGTTTGGTAGAAACACAACTCGTCGTGTTTGGAGGAGAGAGAATGCTGAGTTGCATCCAAAGAACACCATACCTACTGTGAAGCATGGGGGTGGCAACATCATGCTTTGGGGCTGTTTCTCTGCAAAGGGACCAGGACGACTGATCCATGTACAGGACAGAATGAATGGGGCCATATATCGTGAGATGTTGAGTGCAAACCTCCTTCCATCAGCAAGGGCATTGAAGATGAAACGTGGCTGGGTCTTCCAACATGACAATGATCCCAAACATACCGCCCGGGCAAAGAAGGAGTGCCTTCGTAAGAAGCATTTCAAGGTCCTGGAGTGGCCTAGCCAGTCTCCAGATCTCAACCCCATAGAAAACCTTTGGAGGGAGTTGAAAGTCCGTGTTGCCCAGCAACAGCCCCAAAACATCACTGTTCTAAAGGAGATCTGGATGGAGGAATGGGCCAACATACCAGCAACAGTGTGTGCCAACCTTGTGAAGACTTACAGGAAACGTTTGACCTCAGTCATTGCCAACAAAGAATATATAACAAAGTATTGAGATGAACTTTTGATATTGACCAAATACTTATTTTCCACCATAATTTGCAAATAAATTCTTTCCAAATCAGCCAATGTGATTGTCTGGATTTTTTTTCTCATTTTGTCTCTCATAGTTGAGGTCTACCTATGATGCCAATTACAGGCCTCTCTCATCTTTTTAAGTGGGAGAACTTGCACAATTGGTGGCTGAATAAATACTTTTTTGCCCCACTGTATATATACACACACACACACACACAGTGCTCGGCATAAATGAGTACACCCCAACAGATTTGTCAGAAAACCTTTCCTTTCCTTTCAGAATCAACATTTTCTATGGGACACTGTACTACAAAATAATCCCACAAATGTGGGCCATTGATTGCAAACAAGATTTGTTAATTTGCACACACACGAAAAAATATTTTTCCTAACAAATTCATTCAAGATCATGTTGCAAAAACAAATATACCCCAATGAAAGTCTTAGGAGCAAAGCTAAATTTTAGACATCAAAATCCTAATTAACTAGAATTCAACTACACTATTCATTAAACAGGTGTCCAGCAGACAGTTGATTATAAAAAGGGGTTACTTAACAAAAGAAAAAACCCTCCCCATTTCATGTTGTCAGCAATGGCACCACATGGAAGAGAAATATCACAAGGCCTGAGACAGAAAATAATTTCTTTACACGAGAAAGGCTGCAAGATGATCAGTAAAGCTTTACTTATCAGTCAGAATACTGTAGCTAAAGTGATACAAAAATTTAACATGGAACTGCAGCCATCTCACAGAGACGTCCAGGCCAGCCACGGAAGTTAACACCTCGACAGGAGCGTTTTTCTGATGAGAAGAATTGCCACCTATGGGGAATTCTGAAGAGACAAGTGAGCATCACTGTCCATCCAGCATCCAGGCTCTAAAAAGAGGTCGTTCTTGGAGAATGGAGAAACATTGATGTTGCAATATGTCGCCAACTTGTTCATTCCATGCCTAGAAGACTTGCTTTCCTTACAAATCATGGTCATACAAAATTGAGTCATTTTTGTTGTGGGGTGTCTTCATTTTTGCATCAACTAATTTGAGTAAAATTAAAGATTTTGTAACCTGAGTTATATTATTAACCTTACTTTCATGTAAGGAGCATGTTACACTTTACACCCATATGTCACTTTTTGAGTTCAGGCACTGATGTTGGACGAGAAGGTCTGGCTTGCAGTTTTTGCTCTAATTCATCCCAAAGGTGTTCTACCAGGTTGAGGTCAGGACTTTTTGCAGGCCAATCAAGTTCCTCCACCCCAAACTCGCTCATCCATGTCTTTATGGACCTTGTTTTGTGCACTGGTGTGCAGTCATGTTGGAACAGGAATGACCATCCCCAATTTGTTCCCACAAAGTTGGGAGCATGAAATTGTCCAAAATGTCTTGGTATGCTGATGCCTTAAGAGTTCACTTCACTGGAACTACCCCTGAAAAACAATCCCATGCCATAATCCCCCCTCCACCAAAACTTTGCTCTTGACACACTGCAGTCAGGCAAGTACCGTCCTAGCAACCACCAAACCCTGACACATCTATCAGATTGCCAGACAGATAAGCGCGATTCAGAGAACTCCAGAGCATATGTCTCCACTGCTCTAGAGTCCAGTGGCGGCGTGCTTTACCCCACTGCATCTGACGCTTTGAATTGCACTTGGTGATGTAAGGCTCGGATGCAGCTGATCCGATATGAAAACCCATTCCATGAAGCTGTTCACTGTTTTTGTGCTAATCTGAAGGCCACACGAAGTTTGGAGGTCTTTAGCTTTTGACTCTGCAGTTGGCGACTTCTGTGCACTGTGCGCTTCATCATGCGCTGACCCCGCTCTGTTATTTTATGTGGCCTACCACTTCATGGCTGATATTGCTATTGTTCCCAGTTGCTTCCACTTTGTTATAATACCACTAACAGTTGACTGTGGAATATTTAGCAGCAAGGAAATGTCACGGATGGACTTATTGCACAGGTGGCAGCCTATCACGGTACCACACTTGAATTCACTGAGCTCCTGAGAGCAACCCATTCTTTCACAAATGTTTGTAGAAGCCGTCTGCATGCCTAGGTGCTTGATTTTATACACCTGGGGCCATGGAGGTGATTGGAACACCTCAATTCAATGATTTTGAGCGGTGTCTCAATACTTTTGCCAATATAGTGCATGTTAATCTTGGCTGTCTGTGAGCTGTTTCAATATGTGATTTGGTAATTCCATGTTGATTAATGTACAGTGGTCATTTAATGATAGTCTACTATAGTGTATAAAAGTGAGCACCTTTATATGAAAGATTACCTCCTTTTTTTTACATTTCTGTATGATAGTAAGAAAAACAGACCAACAAACACATCAGATGATAATATCTATAGGTTGTTTTTCCAAGATACTGCATGCATTGCCATTTGTGCAAATTTCCTGGCTCTGTTACAAGCAGCATGCAAAAAACTCACAATAAGCTTGCTGTAAACCATACAGGCTTAAACCAGTAGTAACCTCAGGTAATGGAAATCCAACAAAAATGTCCCCTTGCAGTGTTATGTCATAATTTACTAGCATGAGATGCATACTAGCTCATTAAAGCAGACTTATGGAGCAGAGCCCTCCAGCACTGCTCTGTCTCCATTCCCGCCATTCCATCTTCACCCCATCTTCCGTCTGGTTTTGCTCTGACCACTTGAATGCATGGGCCACGATGACACTAAACCCGCGCATACATGCAAGAATCACAATCTACATTGACAGCACACTCAGCGGTAGATTTAATAAAACTGGTGCACTCTGAATCTGGTGCAGCTGTGCATGTTAGTCAGTCAGGTTCTAACTTCAGGTTGAAATATGCAAAACCTGAATTTGTGAACCCGACTGAAATCTATAGGGCGTGAACCTTGATACTAACTTTTGGCCATTTTTAAAACTAATATGCAAACTATTATCAAAAGAGGTCAAGGTGAGCTGGGTCCTGCCACTGGCTGACTCATTTCAGACTACTACTCAACCTCTATCTAACAAAAAAAAAAAAATTATCTAGCTAACCTGGAGGGCATTACATTTTAATAAAAGCTAAAGATATGAAAAAAGTGCAATGACTTTTAAAATGACATTTAATGGTAAAACTTTTATGGTATTTTAGTGATTGGGTTTCCATGAACTTTAATGAAAATTTTAGACAGATAAATTGTTAGTTTTTTTTTTCATTTCATATCCTTTTCACTACTCAACTCATGGGATGTTTCTAAATGAATACAGATACTTGCTACAAGTTTTGAGTTCAGGTTAGGCTCAATTATGTGTAACACATTCCTAGATAGGTGTTAGAATTTGTATAGTTAGGATGAGTATAGCGGTGTTCCTCTGCTTAACAGAGAGACTGTTAGGAAAATCTAATGGGCTCCCAGGACCTGGGAGGGAACTAGGCAAATGAACAGCATGAATATGGATACAGTCCCAGCCAACTGCAGGGGAGGGTGTCCCCATTACATGCTGGGAGTGTTGTTTATGTTCTATGAGCACATGAATTCAGTGTCTTTCCCTGGAGAGGATTGCACCAAGCCAGGCTGGAGGCAGGCTTGCCTCGTCTGGCACTTGCTGCCATGCAGGCCTCAGGTGAGCGACCTGAGGGCTTGAAGTTAGGATAGTGACCCTGGTTCTACAGTACGTTGACTGAGGGGAGCTGTCTGTCAAAGATCTGTCTGGTATCACTGGAGAGAGAGTCACTTGGAAGACTGGAGGAAGGCTGTCATTCTGTCCTTGGACTTGTGAGTACAGATACTGAGAGATCTTGGGGACCTACCCCTTCGGTGCTTGATAGTCAGGGGTCTGAGAAAAGGGAACACTGACTGGTGTACTGAAGAGTTTGGCCAACTGTTGCTAATGCAAAGGACCTTGCTCAGTTCTATACCTTCTGGACTGACAGTCTGCCATAACAGGCCTGTATCTGAAGAGCTCAGCCCTGCAACTACTACTAATGCTAAAGGGACTTAGCTCACTCCTAAACTAAATTTCCCATTCCTATCCCCAGTTCTACAATAAGACTCCTAAAACAAATATCCCCTAGATCCCCATTGAAGACATCGAGCAGAAGTGTGTGTGTACCTGGCTGTGAAAAATACCTTGTGTCTGGCTGTGGGGCTAAGCAAGGGAAAACCTGGGAAAAATATACAAGCAGCTCCTCCAGGGGTAGCGCTACATATGTTCATTTGAAAGTGCAAGTATTTCATGTTAATTTAATATAATTTAATGTGCAGGGGTTTACAAGGTTGTTCTGAGACAGTAGCCTCTATAGGGAAGATACCGACACAGTTTAGCAGCTAAGAATTCCTAGAAATTATTTTGAGATTCTGGAGACTGTGAAATTTTGATCAGGCAATGCAAAAAACTCTCCTAATAAAATAAAAAAACACACAGACTGCTCAGAACCAATAATAATTGTATTTGAACTGTATAGTAGTACGAGTTGTATGCCCAAGCTATGTGTGAGAAATATCCTTTTAAATTGGCAACTTTGTGTAAAAAAAAAAAATAATTTAAATTTTCTTTACGCATTTTCCAAAAACTTTAGGCAAAAAATTAAGTCTTTAAAAGACTCACCATGTCTCTTAAAAATACCTTGGGGAGTTTACTTTCCAAAATGTGTTCAATTTCTGAGTGTTTCCACTGTCCTGGTTTTCCAAGGCCTCCAAAAATGTTGTCAGGAAATTAGACGTGTAATTTATGCCCCTAGAAAGCCATAAGGTGCTCCTTGGAAATTGGGTCCCTCTGTTTGGCTAGGCTGTGTAAAATTCTCATGCATGTGGTATTTCCATACTCAGGAGGTGTCAGGGATGCGGGTGTGACCAGAAGTGTGTGGACTGACACAGGGAAACGTAGGCTTCAGATATAGTAAATAATATAATTTATTAAGACTAACAATACAAACGCAGTGCAAAACTAAACATAACACAGTGCAAACAAACTGAACCAAACCTCCAACAGATAACAAACATACAATACAAGAGTAGTCAGGCAGGCCGGGTCGGTAGCAAACGGGCAAACGGAGTACCAGGAGCAGGCGGGAGAGTGGTCAGGACTAGCCGAGGTCAGTACAGGCAGAGTTCAGGCAGCGTCAGGACAGCAGAAACAGGATCAGGAAACCAGGGCCAAGCAAACAGTACAACAAGGCACAGACTGCAGGTCTGGCCATCCCTTAAATACACCACCTGCAATCAGCCCCAGGTGATAGCTAATTGCCGAAGTGAGCCTCTGGTTGTTGAGAGCACCCGCTGGCCAGCCCTGGTACTGCAGCCCACAAGGCAGGTGAGTCCCACCACTATTGGCAAGTCCATTCCTGACAGGAGGAGTAGTAGAATGTGTTTAAGGGTATATTTCTCAGTTTGCCAATGATGTGTGTTAGAAATATCTTATAAATTGACAAACTTTTTATTTCCACATTTTCCAAAACTTGTGGCAAAAATGACATTCCTAAAAGACTCACTATGCATTTCATAAAATACTTTGGAAGTGTTTACTTTCCATAATGGGGTAAATTAGATGCGGAAATTATGCTCCTTGAAAGCCCATAGGTGCCCTTGGATTTTTTGCCCCGCTGAGCATCAAAGCTGTGCAAAACGCTCACACATGTGGTATCCCCATACCAGAATGTATTTTGGGGAAAATGTAATTATGCCTATGCTGTGTGAGAAATAAATTAATAAAATTACAACTTTGTGAAAAAAACTATTTTATTTAATTTCTTCATTTTCCAAACAAATTTTGACAAACAATAATAACTTTGAAAACCTCACCATGCCTCTTACTAAATACCTTGGGCTGTCTACCTTCAGGGGCATTTGTACTGTCTTGCATTTTAGGGCCAAATGAGAAAGGCAGTCAGTACATGAGGACTGATCCAGTTTTCTAATATATATATACTATAGTTTGTAGACTTGATAACGTTTACACAGACTAAATAATACACACTGATTTGGGTTATTTTTACCAAATACATGTACAGGAATACATTTT